AAATAAATCCATTATTAATACTTTGGGCACTTGCTTTAGATTTTGGTCTTTTTTATTTAGTTGCGGAATGAGAGCAAAAGCGTGTTAATTGAGCTCCCACTCTAAACGTGATGATGATCGTGATGATGATGGTGATGATGGTGATGAAGAAGAGATGATGCTGATTAAGATGGAAAATAAAAGCTAACCCAGAATAAACATTACCTGAGTGTCAGCTCCTTTATGTGCTTCCATCACAGCTTAATCAAAATGTGTCCCGTATACCCATTGCTATTTTAACTTGACACATAAACCCTGGGCATCTGTGAGGTTGAGTAAATGGCTGCAAAGCTAATAAGAGCCTGTGCTGGATTGAACCACTTCTGTTTCCTCTGGATACTTTTACTGTGCAGGCGCTTCTCTACCCAAACTATCTTTAACTCCAGCGTGTTGACTGTTTTCCTAAAGTAGAGATTGAGTCATGCCACTTCTTGTCTAAAAATATTCACTGCCCATCTCCTCTTAGACCTTGAGAATAAATTTACCCTCCTTAGAATGTCATCTAAGGCCTTTCATCGCCTGGTCTCACCTGACCCTTCAACCTTATTTTTCTAAGTTTCTCATCCATCAAGATTGGACTCCAATGTCAACTTCTGTATAAGCTCTTGCAGACTCCCTCCGTCAGAAGCGAATGTCTGTTCGTTCCCACAGCATCTAGGCTCAGTAGCGAACATCGCGCTTAGATTTGATAACATGGCTGGTCCTTCCCAGGTCTGTGCTCTACCCAGGATGCAAAAGGTGACCTTGTGGAGAAGGTGCTATCTGCCTGCTGTCCACCGCTGTTATCTCCACACTGCCTGATTCCATGCCTTGTTGCACTGCTCGTAGGACACAGGAAAGCTGGAATAAATCAATGGATGACTGTGGTATCTATGAATCAGTATTAATCATTCCCTCTTTAGCGGTCAGAATTCCATTTTTTTCCGACTTTCACCTAGTTAATCTCCTTCAGGTCTGTATCCATTTCAAGTTCTCAC